AATAAAGTAAGAGCAAACATTCTGCTTTTCTGGTCCTTTTTCACACTGTCTTGTAGAGGTATTTACTGTAGTTTAAGAAAACGATGCCAACAGCTAACACTTACTAACTTCTAGTCAGATTCTGTGGCATTTCTTACATTAGCTAATTTAATCTTTATAACAACACCAAGGTTTTAGGATTATTATTTCTTCTGTATTTTAAAGGGTGAAATAGAAACAATGAAGCAGAAGAAACTGCTCAAGACCCCGAGGGCAGGAAATGGCAAAATCGGGACTGTAAACCAGACAGTCTGCCTCCAGGGTCTGTCTGCTTAACAACTGTTTGAACATCTCCAAACCCATAAGTAAACTCAAGAAATTTTAGTATTTCTAAAAAAGGACAAAATCTCTTTTGTACGCCTATGAGAATTTTTTCCTTTCAATTTTGAAAAGGCCAAGATCGCATTTATAATCTGATTTTAATCAAGGACTAATCTATTGATTCTCAACTTAGTGAAAGCAGAGGGAATGCTTTACATTGTAGCATTTTCACTGGGAAGTCTATTATTTCTAGCTTCCAAGAAGGAAGGCTGACTTTTGTCTGAGAACAATCTGCCAACTCCATGGATCAGCTCTGATTGTTCAGTAACACATCTATTGAGGACCGTTATTCTGCCTGCCTTCCATCAATACCTACTATGTGACCCGTCCAACACCTTGGTCTTTTCTGTTCTTTGATCACCTGCTTCAGCATCCATGACTTTTTGATATTTCACCTGTTCCCTTGCTTACTGCCAGTGTCTCTGGTTTAAGCATCCTACGTTGACCAACACCTGATGTCTTTCCATTTTACTTGCTGCAATAGCTCCATTGTGGCAATGATTTGACCTTAGGATGTCTCATTTGCTGATCCTATCCTTTAGATTTTTCAAACTCTCATACTCCTTCATTTTTCTCTTATTTTCATTTTCTTTCCCATTCAGCTTTAATTCCATGATCCCCCAAGGTAATTGACTATATTTGCGAGGGATTCATTATTTTATTTTATTTTTTATTTTTTGGTACTGGGGATTGAACTCACAACTGCGCACTTGCAAGGCAGATGCTTATGCCACTGAGCTAAATCCCCGGCCCGCGAGGGATTCATTATAATGATGACTCATTACTTCACAAGACAATTCTACTCTTATTAGTTGTCATCATGAAAATATTTGTAAATTTAAATTGGAAACAAAATATTGTTCTGGACAATAAACAAAGAGCAGATCATGTGCACTACAAAGCAAATGTCAGCTATAACTAGTGACTAATTACATAAATTTTTGCTATCCATAGCAGTTATGGTCTATAAATTCATTATAAACACTGAATTAGTGCATACTGAACTGAAAATACAGGGCTAGATTCTTTTAGACCTTTAGTTACAAAATTTTCATCAACTGTTCAATACATAACTGTATTTTTTTGAAAGACACCTGATGTAATATGCACTGTTGATTCATCAGCACTGAACTCATGTCCAACAGTGCTGTGCCTCAGGCTTGAATGAGGCTAATATGCATTTTAGTCTTAGGACACACCCCGGTTTTATTGTGCTTTCTTAAAAAATATTTTTATTATTTTGAAGGTGGTAAAATGCAATAGAACAAGACAGAACAAAGCCAACTGAGACAGTGCAGTGAACCTGGTACAGAACTTCATAACAAGTTACCAGGATAACAGCAGTAGGTACCATAGTGTATCTTGTTATCTTCACAATAGTCCATTCAATCAGGTATAGCAAAATCAAATGAAATACAGAACATTATGGAACTTATCAAAACAGAATACTGAATAGAGCAATACAATTAATTAGAACAAAGCAAAACAGTGATAACAATATTTGCCTTCAAAGAGATGGTAGAAGGAAATCTCCCTTATTCGCTATATTGCATATGGTCAGCCGCCCAAGAGATGCTCAGACCTCTGGCTCCGATTTGCTAATGGGTTGGGGGAAGCTCACAGCAGCATCAGGGAGGCAAACGGGTTGCTTGGTTTCCCAGTCCTGGCGTTCCAACATGGCTGGGGCTCTTGGGAGCTGCTGGTGGTTTTCCTCCTGGGGCGGCCACAGCTTATTGTGCTTTTTAATGCTAATAGCACCTCAGGACTATGTGGGCCATTTTAAATAATCAAAATCACTAAGAAAAAGCACAAAAATGCAAGCAAAAAATAGCATCCACTAGACTGTAAAAAGATATTTATACTAGTAGTGGTGGATCAAGAAGGCACAGTGTTGCTTTGACTGCACATTGAGCGACTTAAATTGTTTGTCCCGACTGCTTTCCAGAATAGAAAAATACTAACATTGATTGCCCCATTTATCCTTCCAATCTTTTTCTAAAATTTTAAACTTGCAACTCTACAATTGAAAGAGAACTCCAGTGAATCCCTGAATAATGGTATTATGTATACTCATCTCTCTGACAAGTTCAGGACATATTGAATTTAAACATTAAAACTGAATTTGTTGTTAAGTAAAATTATGAAAGTCCAGAAAAAATATATTTATCATGGGTGTTTTTCAGAAGGTTATGTTGATCCAGCTAAAATATCTTTCTTTCTTTGTTTGAGTCAGGATCTCACTCTGTAGTCCTCTGTGGCCTTGAACTCACTGTAGCCCAGGCTGGCCTTGATTTTATGGCAATCCTCCTGCCTCAACCTTTCAAATGCTGGGATTAGAGGTATGCATCAACATGCCCAGCTAAAATATCTTGAAATATACTTTCTTTTTGATAAAGAAGAACAATTATAGTTGACCTTAACAACGAGACAAGATTTTTGAGTTGGTTATTTTGCACAAAGCAAGCTCTCTGTGGGTCTCTCAGCCTAGCTTACAGTAAAGTTACAAAAACATTACATTTATTGTAGGTATAAAATATGTATGGTCAAATACAGGGGAAAAAGAAAGAAAATGGGCCCTACAAATAACTGAAATGAAAATTTATGAAGGTCTTTGGAAGCGACATTGATAAGTCATTTTATAGCTAGCTGTAGATCACAATACAATAAAGAAGGCATGGCTATTTGTTTCATAATGAACTGATAAAACTCAAGTTATTGCTAAAGAAGGGCTCATCCATTTGAGAGACAATATAGGGACAGGCAAACAACTGAAGCAAACGTAAAAAAAGGGCTGGAAGTGACTTAATAATCTTTAAATGTTGTCACTTAGCGTAGCAGAAGGTTTCAACATCTCACCAAGTAATCTGCTAACTGACAGAAGTAGCTGTCAGTTCTTAGTTCATTTGGGTTTCTAAGCAAAACACCTTATACTGATAGTTTATAAACAATGACGATTTATGTCTCACAGTTCCTGGAGGTCAAAACACCCAAGCTGAAAATGCCAGCAGGTTTGGCGTCTGACAGGTAGGTGGCGCCTTCTTGCTACGTCCTTGCAGACCGCTCTGGGAATCACTCTGACAGTAGCACCCATCTCACTCTTTAAGCGACTTAATCATTCTCCAAAGTCAGCACCTCTGAATTTGGGAGGGACACCGACATTCAGACCACTGCTAGTTGTTTATAAAAATATTTAAACCAAGCATGCTCTTTTCCGCAAGTTTTAGAAAATGAAAATGTCCTAAGAACAGATACAGTGACAAGCATTTAAACGCCCTGAGGTTATTACAGTTGCAAATTTTCCTATGAGAAACGTACACATTTGTAAAAGAAACTAGCGAATAAAAGGAAGCAATCTGAGTAATAAGTCTGTAGCATAAAGAGAGCTCCAAAGAAGCCCTGTGCCTGAATCTATGGACCTTTCTTCCACCCCTACCCCAGGTACTTACACGGGGCTTTTGATCTCCTGTTAGACATTGTGTTTGTTTAACACACATCTCAGTGCACTTGGCTTATCATTGTACTTCCTGATAGGGCTTAGCACTGTGGCAGAGTGAGCTGGAATTTCTGCTTTATGCTCAATGCATCCTGGGATGTCCTTTTCCTGCAAAAGGTCTATTGGTCTTCTCTCAACATTTGAGACTAAATTTTTCTCAATCTGAGCTCCCTCTTTTTCTCCTTCCTCTGCTTTGTCTTGGAGCCAGCTGATTATGGACTGAACCCTCCACAAAATGTGAGCTAATAAACATTCTCTTCCTTAATTTTGAGTGTTGGGTATTTTGTCTCAGCAATGAGAGAAAAGTAACTAAGATGATGGGAAATGTTGTGGCTTAGATCTTGAATTACCCCCCCCCCCATTTCATGTTTAGAAGTAGGGCTGTTGCAGGGTGATGGGATCACAGGCCTGCTATGCTCAGTAGTGGATTCACCCGTTCAGCTGACTGTGCTGCTAGGAGGTGGGTCCGGCTGGAGGTGGCTCACTGGGCACCCAAGAGTCTGTTACAAAGCTGTGCTGCTGCTGTGGCTAGCATTCCTGGCACCTTACTTCCATGCAGGGGTCTTGAGACGGTTAAATCACAGGCTACATAATTTGGGCCCAGCACAAAATGAGAATTCAGGGTAATTCAAAAACTAAGAAGTTCTGGGGAAGAGGATCTAAAGATGGGGACGTGGGCAGAAGAAAGGGAATGATAAAGAGATTTAAGATATGTTATGTACTACCTACTTCCCATGTAATAATTTAGTACTACAACCTATACTGAATAGAAGCAAAAACAAAAACAAACACACTGTTAAGAATTGCAGCCTGGACCAGGAGAGCGTTAAACCTAAGGGCATGCAAACCTGGCGGGGAGGGGCGGAGGCTCAGAGTCGCACTTGCACACAGTAGGTGCAAAATAAATGCATGAAGCTCACATTTGAGTCCACAAGCTGTGACAGCAGTCTCGTCCCAGCACTCGCAGTTCCTGGAGTCCCGCAGTGAAGACCGACCTCATCTCTATCATCCCAAATTGCCCAGCTACCCCTCGACCGCCACCGCGGGGTGACACCATCCCGAGGATGAGATTGCCGCTGCGGGCAGGTCTTGTGCAGCCAGGCCTCGCCTAGCCGCCTGGCCAGGGTGTTTATCCGTTGCCCGGGAGATGCGCGGCCACTGAGCCGCTGCTTGGCTCCGGGCGTCTCCGCGTCCACACTGCAGCCAGCATGAGCCACCGAGACTCCACCAGCTCCAGGAGCCTCGACGCGACTCGCGATGCCGCGCTGGGCGCCCTGTCGCCCGCGCCCCAGGTACAGGTCCAGCCGCCAGGGAGGAAGGACCTGGGGGATGGGTAGTCATCCGAGCCCAGCTCCCAGCAGGGGAAGCGCCCCGGGCGGGATGACCTGGAGGGCGCAACCCCTGTGCACCCTCGGCCTCCTGAACGCTGGAGTGGAACTGCAGCAGCGCTCTCCCGGCTGGGCAGTGGACTAGGGTACCTGGCTAAGTTTAGAAATGATGGGCAGGTCAGGAGTTTGTAAAGTGCATCTGTATTTTCTTTTTAGGTTGTGTCTTGCGTCTCCTTTGACCACTTCAAAGTGGTTAAATTCGACAGACAGGCCAGCTCCTGCCCCCTCCCATATGCAATTCCTTCATTAAGTTTCCCTGCTTAGCTCTTGAGACGTGATTGTGAGCATTTTTCCAAAGCTGATGTGGTAGGACTAACGCTGGCCAGGGGAAGGTCGCCACCCCCAGGGTTACTAACCAGTCCGGGAGCAATAATTCAGTTGTCTTGAATCAGCTTACTCCAGGGAGTTAAGTACTGGGAACTTGCAGGAATCAAGTGTGCTACACGCACACACAAACACATACACACACGCACACATGCACACACAGGCACACATGCAGAGGAAGAATTCTGGCTGGCTCAGCCTGGGCTGAATGTGAATCACCTCTGTCCCCAGGTATCCTGTGTGCCTGGAGAAGTGAGAATTGTGCTCATGTTAAAGGTGCCCTCAGCATACACATCCCTGGGGGATATTAGACTCAAATCCAGAGCTGGATTCCCCAACATGCTACCAGAATCTAATACTCAGCACCTTTGATTGTTGTCTTATGTCCCCACATCTAGCTTTTCCTGATTCCTGATGCATTTGTGGAAAAGTATAGCTTTATATACAAAAAAAGCTAATGTTTCTTCCATCAGGCGTTTTCATGTCCAACGTTACATTTTACCCCAACATAGTGTCTGTCCCTTATAAATGAAGCCTATCAGCTCATGCATAAGGAGGCAGTATTTTTATGCTATTTGTATATGTTTGGTGAGCACGAAGTAAATTATAGACATCATGACTTTCTACTGTAAACACTCTGGTGTGCATTATCAAAGAATAGGGAGTTTGCTAATTTAATATACAATGATCAAATTGAGAATATCATATTTAGTATTTTTTACAACAACTTGCCTACTTAAATAATATACTATCTGCTTAAATTTTGCCAGTTACTCCAGTTATGAGATTTTTACAAATTTTTCGTTCCAAGATCACATATATTTAGCTGTTACATCTTAGTTTCTCCTCCCCCTCCTTTTCCTCCTCCTCCTGCTTATCCTTCCTCTTCTTCTTTTCTGGGAATCGAACTCAGGACCTTGCACTTACCAGGCATGGCCTAAAATTTTTCTTTTTTCTTATTTTGGTGGTGCTGGAGATAGAACCCAGGACCTTGTGTATGCAAAATAAGAGCTATGCCACTAAGCCACATCCTGAACTTTTTAAAAAAATTTTTATTTAAAAGGAAAAAGAGAAAAAACAAAACAAAACAAAGCAGTGTAAGGGTACAATTAATACAGAACTACAAAAAAAAGAAAAACCAGTAAGAAATCACCAGTTAATAGATTACAATTATCATCTTAGAGATAGTTGCTCAAGTCACAGTATCAAAGCATACAAAGTGGACATTCAAACAGTGAGACTCAAACAGTTGTGTTCAATGATCCAACCAAAAACATTAATATGGTCAGCTGTTTAACACCCCTAAACACACTTGCAGTTGTATACTTTAGAGCACTTTTTTCCCTCTCTTTTTTACAACACAATTTACACATTTTGGGGTTGATTACTCCTTAGTTCTTATTACTTTTTTGGGGGGGGAGAGAATAAAGTCAAATATGGTAAAACAAAGCTGTCAGTCAAAACCAAGGATAGACATAGCACATGCACATCCTGAACTTTTGAAGAAGTTTTATCGTACATTTTAGGGAACAACGTTAACCATAGGGAACCTGTACCTGTACATTATGTATCTTGATTGGACTTTTCCCATCCCCTGCCTTTCCTTTCTCTTCCTCTCCTTACTTACAAAATCTCTGTTTACATTTTTTCTTTTTTCTTCCTCCTCCCTCCTGGTTTCTTTTTCCACTTCAACATTTGATACAATTTTCTTAAACATTTCACAATGTCTAGTACAAATTTTGGTCCTTATTTACACTTTTGGTTTCTCGCATCAGAAAAGCCATGCCATATTTGAACACACAGGTCTGATTTATTTCACTTAAGAGTGTGGTCTCAAGGTGCAACCATTTATCTAAGAATGTCTCAGGCTTAGCCTTTATGGCAGGGTAATCCTTCACATCTTCTTTACTTATTCATTGCTTGATGGTTTGGGCTGTTTCCAAGATTTAGCTGTTGTAAGCTGTGCCGCTGTAAACATGGGTGTGCATATATTGCTGTGATATGATACTTTTAATTCTTTTCGGAAGATAGCAAGAAGGAGAATAACTGGGTCAAATGGAACTTCTAGTTCTAGCTTTTTGAGGACTCTCCTCACTCCTCAACCATTTCCATAGTGGTTGCACCAGTCTACACTCCCACCAACAATAGGGGAGGGTTCCTTTATCCTCACAGTTCTACAGCACTTGACTTCTTTTTTTTTTTTCCCCTGTACCGGGGATTGAACTCGTGACTGCCTGCTTGCAAGGCAGGCACTTATGCCACTGAGCTAAATCCCCAGCCCAACTGGTTGACTTCTTGACAACAGCCATTCTTTCTGAAATGAAATAGAATCTCGTCGTTTAAATTTGCATCTCTTGAATGACCAGTGACGCTGAACATTTATTTGTATATTTATTTACTGTTTCAACTTCTTTATCTGTGAAGTGTCTATTTATTTCAGATGCTCATTTTTGGACTGCATCTTTAAATTTGGGGTTTAATTCTTTTAAGTTCTTTATACTTTCTAGATATTAGTTCTTTGTCTGAGGGACAGCTGGCAAAAATTGTTTTCACTCTGTGGGTTATCTCTTTGCTGTGCAAAAGTTTTTTTAATAATATGAGGTCCCAGTTGTTGATTCTTCATGATATTTCCTGTGAGACTGGGGTTTTGTTCATTAAGTCATTGCCCTCATCTACGTCTTCAGGAGTTCTACCTAGTCTCTCTTCAGCAGATTCAGTGTTGCTGCTTTAGTATTTAGATCTTTGATACATTTTGATTTTAGTTTAGTGCATGGTAAGAGATATGGATCTAGACAATGGCTCTTTGATGTGTGGAAAGTTAATTCTTCCAGCCCCATTTATTAAAGAGACTTTCTTTCAATGAAGGTATTTGGGCTCTTTGTCAAAGATAAGAGGGATGAGTGTATTTGGTGTTTTTTCTGTATCTTCTAGTCTGTTCCATTTATTCTCTGGTCTGATTTATTATTATTATTATTTTGTCACTACTGTGTTGTACTGTTCACTTTGTAGTATAATCTCAAGTCAGAGACTGTGATGCACCCTGGCTTGCCTTTGCTGCTCAGAACAGCCTTTACTCTTCTGGTTCCAAATGAATTTTAGATTTTTCCCCTAATTTTGTGAAATATGCTGTTAGTATTTTGATCAGGATTGCATTAAATCTGTGTAACAATTTTAGGAGTATGGCCGTTTTTTTTTTTTTTTTTTTTTTTTTTGTCTTTTTGAGACAGGGTCTCTCTATGCAGTTCAGGCTGGCCTTGAGCTCACTTTGTAGCCTAGGCTGGTCTCGAACTCACAACAATCCTCCTGCCTTAGCCTCCGAGTGCTGGGATTACAGGCGTGAACCACCACGTCTGGCTGGCCATTTTTACTGCATTGGTTCTTCCTACCCAAGAACAAGGGGTACCTTTTCATTTTCTAATATTCCTCTTCTTCCCCCTTTTCAGCGTACTGTAGTTTTCAGTGTAAAGGTCTTTTACTTCCTATGTTAGATTTATTCCTAAGTATTTCATTTTTTCCAATGCTACTGTAAGGTGTGATTTCTATAATATTTCTTTCAGTGAGTTGTTATTTGTGTACAAGTATGCTATAGAGTGTTTACTTTGTATACAGCTATGCTCCTGAATTTGGTCAGTAACTTTAGAGTCTTTGGGTGGAGTTTGTGGAGTCTTCTATGTGGAGTATCATGTCGGCTGCAATGATGATAATTTAACTTCTCCTCTTCCCATCCTGTTCCTTTTATTTCTTTCTCTTGTCCAGTTGTTCTAACGAAACTATACCAGATCTATATGGAATAAAAGTAGTGAATACTCTAGGCTTGTTCCTGATTTTAGAGTGAAAACTTTCAGTTTTTGTCCATTTAGTATGATGTTGGCTGTTGATTTGTCATAGATGGCTTTCATCAGGTGGAGATAAAGACCATCTATTCCAGTTTTGTGTAGTTTTTATCATGGATGAGTGTTGGACTTTGTCAAGTGCTTTTCTGCATCTATCAAGATGATCATGTGGTTTTTGTCCTTGGCGCTGTTAATACGGAGTGTTGTATTTATTGATTTGCCTATGTTGAAGCATCACCCTTTCTCTTCTGTGCCTCACGTTGCTATAGTCCACTGTCTGGATTCCAAATATCAGAGAGGCCGTTTCTCTCCTGTTCACCATCTGCCGTCTTCCTGGAAGTTCCATCTTAGATTCTGTAAACCTGCAACAATCATTCTCTTAAAAACAAATATCTATTCTCATGACTAGATTTTTGGTGGGCATTGCTTAAGACATATTATATCTTGGTGCAGCACATCAGGAGCTGCCTGTTCTGCTTGTCCCATTGCTTGTGATATCTCCAAATGGTAATATCTTCTAGATGTTTCCACTGTAAAGTTACCTTTTCATTTTTTTTAGCAATAAATTATTGATTAATTGAATCATAGATTCAGATAGAGATTTTTAAGATAAAATCACTACATGCATACAGGGGAATTTCCACTGTTTTATATTTTAATTGGCTTGAAAGAGACCGATGTTACTGATATCAAAAATGGAAAAGCCAGCATTTTTTACTATCAACCTTTAGTTTATAAAATGCTTCA